ACTCGAACCCAGGACCTATCAGTCTCACACGCCAGCGCTTAACCATTAGACCAGTGAACTGGCCGGCATTCCAACGGTGTTAATGTCTAACTTCAACTAATCCACGAAATTGAGTGACACATACATCATTATCTTCACTGAGTCACTATTATATCATAACATATCTGGTTGAAATCCACTGGTCACTGCTTCTCAATAGAACAGTAGGAAATAACTCTTGAAGTCAGTCACTATTGAGCATATGTTGATTAATATCAGAACGGCTTTTTGTGAATATTATCATAATTTCAATAATTAAGATCATGAATCAAGTGAAGCTAGACCATCATGGAAAACCTGAAAGCATTGGATGATCGTTTCATTCTATTGAATGTATTACTGTAACTGAATACTGAATTGAATAACAAACAAAAGAACTAAGATACAAATTAGATCCAATAACTTAAATCTGTCATCAATTAGGTCATAATGTTAATTAGTTATTATCATGTGAGATAAAGTTGAATTTGTAACCATATGACATTAGAAAGTTTATATACCTACCTTTCACATAATGAATGAAAGTTATATATTCGTATAAACCATTGAAATATTATGGTAACAAAGATACATTCCTATGTATCCCTATGTAGCAAAGGTACAGTAAATATATTTCATTTCTTAGTAAAACTATTTTACATTTGAATAGGCTACTATAGTATATTTAAAGGGTGGTGTATTATTATTATTATTTTTGGATGCCTGTTGACAAGATCTTTTCATTTGTGTACATTATATTGCATTGCTTTTTACATTCATACAAATTGATTATGTAACATTGTAACGGCTAGATTCCTCTATATCTTACTAACTTAGTTACGCCTACTACTCCTCGTGAAGGAGCATAGGCCGCTCACCAGCATTCTCCATCCAACCCTGCCCTGGGCAATCCTTTCCAGTTCTTATTCATCTTTTTCATATCTGATTCTATTTCTCGACGTAATGCGTTCACAGGCTTTCCCCTTTTACACTTCCATTCAGGATTCCAAGTTAGAGATTGCCTCGTAATGCAGTTTGATGATTTGCGTAATGTATGTCGTATCCATTTCCATCGTCTTTTCCTAATTTCCTCTTCAGCTCCAAGTTGGTTTGTTCTCTCCCACAGAAGGCTATTGCTGATGGTATCCGGTCAATCGATGTTGAGTATCTTGTGTAGACAGCTATTTATAAATACTTGTACTTTCTTGATTGTGGTTGTTGTAGTTCTCCAAGTTTCAGCTTCATACAGTAGAACTGCCTTGATGTTTGTATTGAAGATTCCTCTATATTGGACTCCAATAAATAGTATCCTGTTAATTGAGTATTTAATGTATGCTAAATCTCCTAGTAGAATCATAGATTTAGTCGAGATTATTCAAAAGCCTGAACATTAGTAATAGGGATAGTTTATTGGCAAAGATTAGTAAAATCAACAAGCGTTCACGAAGTAAACACACAGGGAAACCAAGAGTGTGTGTGTGAGTGTTAAAAATGCATATATATATTTATGATTGTTAATGGAGTATGGATAAATTATTGATTGTCTGTGCATTACACCCCATGGGAGAATAGATTCAAAATTGATGTGCAGAAATGTAGTCAGTCAGACTCACATAGAAATTCACATAGTGGATTAACTGTCTAAATTACAGTGAGCAGATAAATAATACAATAGTTGAATGGGCTTACTACAACATGTCTGTTACAATAAAATCAGTTGGCTTGAATGATACCCATATCTTAACTTTAATTACATAGTCGCGTTTCTTGATCAGCAATTCGTTTAACAATAGAAGTTTAAATAACAGAACTACTACTACAACTACACACATGAATTTGATTCTAATTCAGGTAAAGTGGATCCTAGAGCATCCTAGAACATCCTAGAACATTTGACTCACTTGTAATCGAAGTTCCTATTTAATGTTTGTGTTTAGTTAATCATGAAGTACGTTCACTATAGTTGTTTATTGATATCATGATTCTCATCATGATCAGCATCAGAACCTAATCTATAGTTGTAATTGTTGGAAGTATGACTACTAATAGATGTATGATACGGTCATTCGCTTCACTACCGATAACTTCATCGTTAACCCCATTGTCCTTAGTAACATCCTTGTTATGCTTACCGTTGTTCGACATCAAAAGAACATTATCCAGTTCAACCTTGAAATTGCGAATAAAATAAGAACCACTTTGGAAGTATTTAACTTTTCTATCTATACACATTGTAATATCTGCAAATGCTTCGTGTGCTCTCATCCATTCTCTATTTTTATACTTGGTTACTTCAGTGATAAAGTGCAAAACCATCATTTTCTAAAACATGATATGTTCCATTGCATGTCGGTCTGGAGAGATATGAAAACTGAAACATGGAATGTTTAATCATACATTTCAACAGATACCCTCAGCATTTCATTGATAACGTTTGTTTTCAGCATAAATTGACATGATGTAATACAATTATCATTTCTACTAGTCAATACTCATCAGAAAAGCAGCGCTACATTCCTTAAAGGAACTGATAATTCCTGTAGAATTCATGAATCATTCAGCTTTAATATCATAGACATGATCACCAAGTTATTCACGTCACTTGATTTCAAAATTTAGTGCACATGAGGTCGGATCCCTTAAACTAGTGATCACAATGAAACTTAATTACAAGAATTCGATCATCACTAAAACACTAGACAAATTTTATATTTTATCAGAAGGGGGGGGGTGGAGATTTTAGTAATTTCATAGTTGAATTCATGAGTTAATTGAAGCTAGAAAACCATGGGAAAACTGGAAGCATTAGACAGCCGATTCAACCTAGTATAGAACTCCTTAGTAGTGCGCATCCACAATTCCGCCCGCAAGATTCGAACCCAGGACCTCTGAAAATTAAACCTCTAGACTATCAATTCAGTATTCAACGATACTTATATCTAACTTCAACCAATACACGAAATTACGCCACCATCCACCATTGTCTCACAACAGACCTGGTTGAACTCCATTGGTCATGATTTCTCACTAGAAATCTAAGAAGTACCTCTTGAAGTTTATCACTGGTGAAGACATGATAATTATTATCAGAAGAGGGTATTCTGGAGATTTCAGAACGAAATAATTGTCTATTGCTTCCAGAATTTTCATGGTGGTCTTACTTGAATTGATTTATGAATTCAATTATTAAATAAGATGGGTTTTGTAGATATTATAGTAATTTCAATGGTTAAGATCATGTGTCAATTGAAGCTAAACCACCAGGGAAAACCTGGAAGAAATGGACAGCCGTTTCGTCCTATTGCGGGACTCCACAGCAGTGCGCATCCACAACCTCGCCCCCTACGAGATTTGAACCACTTATTTATTCATAATTGACCAATGTATTTTATATATTTTCAGTAAACAGCTAATAGGAAACTATAACAGATTGAATCACCTTATAATTAACCTACATGATCACTTATACTCAACATTATTCAAGTTTACATTGATGAAACTAATTATAAGACATGATTTTACAAAAGATAAAAACTTATCATGACTTCAATGTCCTATGTGAAACATGACATGCTAATGAATATTGTTACTGTATCTACGTCTGTCATATTCTAGTTCTCGTTTTTCTCACCCCCTCCCCGAAATAAAAACCAAAAAATTTTTTTTTAAATACCCGATACACTACATATTTGTTTATGAATTATACTGAATATCCTTACGACGACGATGACACCACCACCAACAACAACAAATAACGAAAAGTAAATGTCAGTGCTTAAAATAGTCTATTTCCCTCCAAATTAAATGAAGATGTTATAGATTAATTTTTTCTTTAAAAAAAGGATTTTTTTTCCGGAAAACTTTAGTTGTCATGGTGACATTCTAAAAATGGTTACGCAATTAATAATGAAGGTATTAGGCTAAGCAACTATTAGTAAGTAAGTAAGTAAGTAACTATGTCAAAGAAAGTTTTGTTTGTTAAGTATTTCAAAGTGATAAGTTAACAAATCGAATACAAAGACAAATCATAAAAATGTTGAGATTTTCACCGATACATATTCTACTTTTTCTTTCATGTCTCATATAAACTTGGCGCCCTAAATATTATGAAACTATTCGATAAAAATTGAAATGTTTGTTAATTTAGTTAATCTGATTGTGGTTTGTATTTGATGATGTGAATTCATGAGTTAATGAAAGCTAGACCACCATGGAAAACTTGAAAGCACTAGATAGCTATTTCATTTTAATATGAAACTCTTCAGCAGTAAGCAAACACAATCCAGCATTCCAGTGGGATTCGAACGCAGGGTCTATCGGTCTTGCGCGAATACATAACCAATGTTGTTAATGTTTACCTTTAACCAATCCATGATCGTGGATACACACTGCTCAGGAGTCCCATATTAGGATGAAATGGCTGTCAAGTGCTTTTAGGTTTTCCATAATGTTCTATATTTAATTGACTCATGAATTTAACTATTAAATTACTACAATCCCGACAAAACCTCCTTGTGATGTTGATTAAGCTAACTGTTTGATACTTTGTCTACTCATTTATAAATAAGGTGAGACTTCAATTTAGAGATGAGGCAATCGTATTTTAGACTCTAGGCCTTGGAGTTTTGTGTGAAATTCATTCATTCATTCATATGGTTAACTGCCATTTCGACATTATAACTGATGTCATTTCATAATGAAAACTCCAACTATGATTCCTAAACCTCAATGTCTAACTGTAAACCCTAACCTCAACAACTGACATCAATTTATAATCCTTATTTAATCATAGTAAGTAAACGAAAATTCTCAAGGCATTACTCAAACATAGTGTACCGAATCGATTGTACACTTCAAGATGTCCAGCTTGTACATGGTTAAGTTTGTTTCTAAGCTAATAATCATTGAATGATCTCTCTTGTGAAATAAGTTACCAACTATTGTTTTATTCAAATTCTTCTCTCTATTGAAAAAAAAAATAGCTGTTTGTGCCGGTAATTGTGGTGAACGTGGTGAATGTATCAAACCAAACACTTGTATTTGTTCTGATCGACGTCTTCGTTTCAGTTGTAAAGAAGAGGATATTGATGAAGAATCAGATACAATGCAACTTGATCAAGCTGAAAGTGAGTCGATTTTACATGCTTATACTTATAAATATACTGAACAATAACGTCAATAGTTTGTTTGATAGCTAATATTCTACAGAATTACTTACTTACTTAAGCCTGTTACTCCTCGTGAAGGAACATAGATTACTCACCAGCATTCTCCATCCAACACCATCCTGGGCAATCCTTTCAAGCTCTTTCCACTTGTTATTCATCCTTTTCATATCTGCTTCTACTTCTTGACGTAATGTGTTCCTTGGCCTTCCTCTTTTCCACTTCCCTTCAGGATTACAAGTTAGAGATTGCCTCGTGATGCAGTTTGATGAATCGCGTAATGTATATCCTAACCATTTCCATCGTCTTTTACTAATTTCCTGTTCAGCTCCAAGTTGGTTTGTTCTCTCCCACAGAAGGCTGTTGCTGATGGTATCCGGCCAATGGATGTTGAGTATCTCGTGTAGACAACTATTTATAAATACTTGTACCTTCCTGATGATGGTTGTATTAGTTCTCCAAGTTTCAGCTCCTTACATTAGAACTGCCTTGACGTTCATATTGAATATTGTGACTTGGATATTGGTTGAAAGTTGTTTTGAGTTCCATATGTTCTTCAATTGTAGGAATGCTATCCTTAGTTTGCCAATCCTCGCCTTTACGTCTGTATCTGATTCTGCTTTTTCATACTCTTCACATTACATGTTATATTCATTAGACAGATCTTAACTTAAACAAAGTATAAGCGTTAAGTTTAGTTAGTCTATCAGGCAGTGGGAAGATATTCGTGACCGCTTTCGATTATCAGATATTAATTAGGATTGTTCTCTTTCATCTAAATAAGAAGTTTGTACTTTTTTGGTACCATAAAACAAAATAGTTGATGACTTTATGAATTATGGCTTCCTTGAAACTTCTTATAATTATGCTGTTTAGTCACTCTTGTGATATATGACAGATATTCATGTCTGTTTATCTTGACTATTGAGAAGAATTGGATATTGATTTCCTGAATACATTTAGTAAACGATGCATTCTTTAAAGCAAATGAATGGTATGCTGACTACCATTATGAATGCTACTACTACAGTAGCGAATGAGAACACAAATGAAGACGACTAACCTAGTTTAGTACATAATTATAGAATTTCCGGGTATGAAGACCATACATTGAATAATTCATCTGCGATATTCAATCGTTTGCTTTTTCCCACATTCTGTATGATTCTGCCATGTCGTAATTCCTTTCCATTTCCGTTTCCGTTTACTCCAAGTTGACCTTCATAGCATTCTGCTGTCATGCATTCCTTTTCTGACTGGTGTTACATACTACCTATATCGTCTGTAGACATAAGTAGTATACACTACACTAATACTACATCCTTTTATATGACTACTAATACTGCAACATCTGCTATTACCGTTGTTACTATTCATTGTGATGATTGCTTTCGGTACTTCTAATACTTCTATCCTTAATACCATTACTACAATTTCTACTGCTACTACCTCTACAATTAACGTTACCTCAGTTTCTGCTGATTACATCAATACTATTATCATGGATACCATAAAACTGATTTAGTTAAACGCATTAATTCTTATAAAAGTAATTTATTCAAGCATTGCTAATAAACATCTGTGTAGTTGACCATATGTTAGTTGTAGAAAGAAAATGTGTTTTGTGTAAGTTATAAACTACTCCAATGATAATTACATCATCAAAACTTGTTATACAGTGTAGAAATTTTCTTGTTGTTTCTATGGAAGATACATGTTTTAAAATAATCACTATTAGAAAAAAATATATATATTCATGAAATTGCCCTGGACAGGGTTGGATGGAGAGTGCTGGTGGGTGGCTTATACTCCTCCATGACGAGTAACAGGTGTAAGTAAGTAAGTAAGTATATTCGTAAAAGCTAAAGGATCAGTCTAATTCACAAATGATATTGTAGTGAACGAGAACACAGGCGGGACAACCAAATGTATTGGGACACAGAAATTACAGAATTTCTTAGTAAAATCTGAGGACCATACAGTAAATACTTCATTTGCAAAATGTTAATCAGTTGTCTTAAACTTGACTCTTTCTTTTGCAAACATCAGTCAATCGTCTCAGACTTCATTGGTCTTGCATTTTCATATCAATTGCTTTGTGTTCCAGTTCTTCCTTCTCGAACGTTTGCTGCCAGACATTCTATTTCTGATTATCGTTATATACTAATCATGTCGATATAAGTAGCACACACCACAATATCAGTTAGGAAAAAGAGAAAAAAACCGACACACAGCCATAAATTTCTGAAAAGATACTTCATTCTAGTTCAAGAGTACTTGATCGATAGATTTCGATCATCATTATAGACTAAACAAACATGATATTGATCACTACTACTCAACGATCAATCAATGTGAAAGTTCCAGTTAACCTAGAAGTCAATTACTATCTGATTACCTCAGTAGTAACGTTTCATATCATTAAAATAGATGATGCAGTTCACCCGAGATCCTAGGTAGGCGTTGTTCATGAGTGTAAATAATCATGAAATCAAGATTTAAGTTTGTTTGTTAGATCACTTCAAATCATTTTATGTCAAAATCACACAACAGACTGAAACGATAACTTGCTGTTCTATTATCAGCTATTATTTCATCGAGTCACTGTTTTACAATTCATAAAGATTAGATTTTTATTATTTGTGTTACGTAATGCCACCGACAATTAGAGAGTAGTGACTTATCGACCGGACCAATAACGTGTTAAACAAGTTCGAGCAGTCTAGAGTCCTTATCGGTCCTGCTTCCTGCCTAGCCCTGCCTAAGAGGTCCAGAACACCAATTTCAGCCTCTGAGATATGAATCATGTATTTCAAACATATTTGGTTTATATACAAACCAAATAAAATTTATTCAAGTTCTAGCAAATGTAGCTGTGAATATGGGAGACCGTAATTCATAGACTGAGCTTAACTTAAGAATGGTAAAGCTAGAACAAACAGTGATGCAGAATAATACGAATTCACCATATTTCGTGGTTTCTGATAAGCTGCTTACAACCAAATTCGTATTAGGATTTTACATTGAGGTGGGAAACAGTATGCAGTAATTGACGTAAGTGGAAAAGACTTGTAGCTTAGATGGATGATTTTGATGGAGTTTTGTTCTCTGAGGTAGATGATTTGGTCAACTATTTGGTCGCCTATACTCTAACGGGTAAAGGTTCAGTGATTAGAGGCGCTCTTCATAAGGCTGGAACCTGAGTCCCCGAATTGATTTCGTGGCTAGCCGTTGGATACGTTCCAGAATGTCCTTTTCCTTTTGAAGTGTGGGAGGAAGTATTATGTCTCTGTTTTTTAAATGGGTACGCATAAAACTGCTGAAGGTTATATGGAAAGTTGTTTCGTGAAACTGGCCAGAAATGAGCTTCAATATTACCAGTGAATGGTTTGTTCGAAAGACATTTTTGTCAAACTCAACGTAAGACTTCAAATCGTAGGGCACCAGAACTCCTAAATCTTTTTCAACTTGAGATACTTCTAGAGGGGAGTTGTCTAAGTTGTAGCTGTAGTTTACAACATGTCTCAGATGGACTACTTTACACTTTGAAGTGTTAAAAATAAGTCCATTATCATCTGCCTAACTTTGAAGTCGAGTCAGATCCTCCTGAAGCGTCAGTATATTCTCTTCGTTGAGTATCTCTCTCTCCGAAATTTCACATCATCAACAAAAACTATCAAGTCAGACGATATCCGTTGTGGCAGATCATCTATATAAATCAAGAAAACAAGAGGTCTTACTACTGAACCTTGAAGGAACCCATTAGGTGAACTTGTTCATTTTCATATCTATACTACAAATTAGTTTGTATCCGTCAACAACGAGTTTCAACTACTTAGTTACCATGTGCTTTTGTTATTTCGATTATTAGCAACTATTTTTGACAAAAATTCTACTTACTTTTTTAGTGAATTATCATCAAAAATATCAATTTTTCTTTTTTCTTTTTTGAAAAAAAGGTTTTTCTTTTTCAGATTTTTCTCTTTTTTGTTGTTTTGTTTAACCTTTAAATAATTTCACACTAAAAGCTCATCAGCTGACTTTGACAAGAATTTTTGTTGTTGTCGTTCTTTCATTGTAAAATTCATTTGGTTTTAATATTCATTTGGTATTGTCTTAGGTGGTGGTTGGAGGTAGTCGACAGGATACCCTGGACCCAGCTTTCGTGCTACTTGGCACTCGTCAGCAAGGTGTACCTGTAATCTTGAGGGAACTGGTGCTCTCTGACGGATTCCATCCCTTCTCGCCCAGCTTCACAGTCAAAGACATTACCACTGAGCTATCCGGGCCACGACCAACCTTCTGTAGGACTGAGACGTAATCACAATTGATTGACCACTGGGTGGTGACCAATGTCATGTGTGTCAAGTCTTTGCTGACGAGTGCCAAGTAGCACGAAACCCTGGTCCAAGGTTTTCTGTCGACTACCTCCAACCACCATCTAATCTCACAATAGTGCACACAGTATCGAGTCACCTAGACTGGTGGCCACATTGCAACTTGGACGATAGCATTTGATCCGCACTAATAATAAGAACTTAACACACATGACATTGGTCACCACCCAGTGATCAATCAATTTTGATTTGGTATTGTTTTACTTGTCTCTTCTTTTCATGGATGTTTAGGATTACAATTGAACAGTTTCATATTGGCATATATGCATCTTGTGTGGATTGACTTGTAACAGCTTTAATTTATAAGCTCTTTTTAAATAAAGATGGATAGTGGTTAGAAGTGGAATCTAGTTTGACGCACGTTTTGTCCTATTTAGGACTCATAAGTTGAATATATTTGCATCTCAGAGTTGATATTCACTCTTGCACTTGAACTCAATACAAATAATTTCCAAAACCATCGTATTGTCCACTTAACTATTAAATCCCGATAGTCATTTGTTTGTGCATTGGGATGAAGTTTTAAATTCACTTGGTATTCTTGATTTGAATCTTCCTATTGATATTTAGAACTTCAATTGATCAGTCTCTTATTGGCATATGTACATCCGGTTTGGATTGACTAGATATTATTTTAAGTGACAATCATCCTAAGCAAAGATAGTTTAGTGGAATCTAGGACGCGCGTTTCGTCCTATTTAAGACTCGTCAGCTGGATGTACCTGCATCTCAGAGTTGATGTTCACTTTGGGACTCAAAACCAATACCACTCGCTTCAGACGCTATCGCGTTATCACAACTTATAATGCTTGTGAATTAAGGCCATATCGAGGCAATATGCACACTATGCACATATGCCAACAAGAGACTGATCAATTTCAGTCCTAAACAACAATAGGAAGATTCAAGTGAACAATATCAAGTGAAATTAAACTTCATCTCGTTGTACAAGGAAGTGATTATCAGGACTCAGTAGCTAATTGAATAACACGATGACTATTGAAGCGAATGGTACTGGGTTCGAGTTCCAGAGTTAACATTAACTCTGAGATGCAGTTGCATCCAACTGACAAGTCCTAAATAGGACGAAACGTTTGTATTGGATTGCACTGCTAACCACTATCCATCTTTGATTATAATCTTTATTATTATGGTTGGTTTATTTTCACTGTGTTATATTTCTAAATATTTCTGCTTAGCGTTTTTAGCGAGTTAGTTTTCTGCAGGATGAGGTGGCTAACCCCATGCCCAACCTTCCTCCCTTATCCGGGCTTGGGACCGGCAATAGGCCCAGAGGGGGTCCAGGAGGAGATAAATATTTCTACTTAATTGGATTAAATAAGTACATACATTCAATGATAAACATTTATTTAAAGAATTCAATATTCATTATGATTAAAGAATCCAATGAAACTAATTTTGAACAATTTTCTAATATTGACGAATATTCATATAGAAGATCAATTTATCTCACCGAAGAATGTCTTTTTAGAATCTGGTTTATTCTCTATAAAGAGCTTGAATCTTATTATTTAAACGACATATCCACTATTTTTTCAGTGAGTTACTACCTCACAACAGACCAGGTTGAACTCCACTAGTCACTGCTTCTCACGAGAACTGCAAGAAAAACCTCTTGAAGCCAGTACACAGATTTTGTAGAGATTTTTAAATTTCTCTAGTTTACTGGAGTTCTAATATGATGACACTTCTAGTAGACTTTAGTAATGGTGGATATGGGATAATTACCTACCACAACTGGAATCAGAATATTCCTTAAATTGATTGAAGTTAGACTATTGGATCTAAGCTCTACAGCTTGAGAAGTTATAAGTTCTCTGAAAGATCCAAAGATTCTGTATTCGATATTGATGAGATAATAGATGCTGACTACAGAGGATTTATAATATAACTCCAGTTGCATAACTAAATTTTCACAACTCCCTATGCCTAAAATGAATGTTTGTTTCGATAATTCGAGGGAATTAATTCAAATATCAGTTTACCAACAATCTGGCTACATATAGAAACGGCCGTCCAGTACTTCCAGGTTTTCTATGATGGTCTAGATTCAATTGACTCATGATCTCAACCATTGAAATAATTATTGAATAGTTCAAATGTAGCTAGTAAGGGAAATCAGAACGGATGGCTTGTCCTATTTAAGTTTCGTTAGGTACTTGCCATATTCGATATATGGAAACAATCAATCCAGAATAGATATTTACCAACGAAAGATAATCAAATTGCAGATCTTTCACTGGTTGAAATCATGAGTCAATTGAAGCTAGACCCCCATGGAAAACCTGGAAGCACTGACTGACTTCAAGAGATACTTCTGGAGTTCTAATGAGAAGTCGTTATCAGTGAAGTTCAACCAGGTTTGTTGTGAGATATCAGCTCACTGACGACAATGTTTTACAGTGGTGCAACTTCGTGGATTGGTTGAAGTTAGACATTAACACCCATTGGATACTGGCTCAGTAGTCTAGTTGGTTAAGCGCTTGGCGCGAGACTGATAGACCCTAAGTTTGAATCTCGTGAGGAGCGGGATTGTGGATGCGCACTTCTGAGGAGTCCCATACTAGGACGAAATGGCCATCCAGTGCTCTCAGGTTTTCCATGGTGATCTAGCTTCAATCGACTTATGATTTCAACCAGTGAAATTTCTGAAATCTCCACAAAACTCCTTCTGACGAATTACAGATCATTCAAATCATTGTAAATTAAATATAACTAATTATGTATCATTATTTTTTTCATTTATCATTGAAAGATCAATGTCCGGATAATTGTAATGAACATGGAAAATGTGAAAATGGAGCATGTATTTGTCGAACAGGATATAGTGGATTAAAATGTGAAAGTATGTGATCTTTTTCAATGGGCTCTTTATATTCATGAAGATTATTTAACTAATGTTTATCTCCTTTTCAATTATCTTCCATGATGGTGAAATGGATTATCGGGTTATAATCAACATGACACATGTTGAATAGTATACTCAAAGCATAATTGGTTATTTGTGACTAAAAAGAAGACACTCAAAGCGTAAGATTAAACAAATATGTAAACGGGTTTTATGGATGTTATTAGTAATTTTAATAGTTGAGATGATGAGTTAATTGAAGCTAGATTAAGCTCTTGCGTGAACACGGCTGAGGAGTCTCACAGTAGGAAGAAAGGGCCATCTAGTGCTCCCAGGTTTTCCATGGTGGTTTGGCTTTGAGGTAATTCATCCAGCTGCCTGGGTCGAAATAAGGAATTATGATAAGGAGTTTCAGTTATAACTTCGGTTTACAAATTTGAGTTAGGATTTTTAACATAAACTAGTATCAGTTATAATGCGAAAATATTATTAATCCATCCTAGTCGGTCAGCAGCAACCTAGAACTCCGTACGTACATACATCAGTTTGAGTTGCCAAACCATATTAACACAGAGATACAATTGTTGATTCAAATCCCTTAGTGGTAGATGTGGTAGAAGTATAAGCAGTAATCGAAAAGGTTAGGGTTTGAAGATGTTATTCAAGGAGTATAATCCAATGAAATAAATTTGGAAAGAGAAAGGAAACGGACATGAAGAATTTAGAAGATTAGAATTTTGGGAAACACAAAGAATGGATTCACTTGCACCACTGCAAACGATTTTGAGCCATCTCACTCAAGGTCTCTAACCATCGGTTGCTATAGTTTCACGAATCCCAACCAGGTAGTCTACACCTACCTAACAACATAACTCAGTCCACGTTTCAGTGACTTTATAGATTTGTGCCAGGTTTTGATCTCGCCGCCTCTAGCTCATTTATCCATATGGACGAATAAATTTCACACAAATTCCAGGATTCGTTATTTTAAATTTGATTGGTTCGTACACAAACCATAATCTTTCTAGAAGAAATCTATATATTTTTCGCATTATTGTCCTCGAGAGGAAGGAATGAACTGATACTTATCATGCAAATAAATACATGACTCGATACTTACTTACTTACTTGCGCCTGTCACTCCCAATGGAGTATGGGCTGCCGAACAGCATTCTCAAACCCACTCTGTCCTGGGCCTTCCTTTCTAGTTCTATACAATTCTTGTTCATTCTTCTCATATCTCTCTCCATTTCTCGACGTAATATGTTCTTTGGTCTTCCTCTTCTCCTTTAGTCTTGAGGATTCCAATTTAGGACGATAAAAAATAAAAGACTATATAAAGTAGATATTGGTTGCCTCGTAGGGATCTATCAAAATAATCTGAATACATTTGTGTTATTATATAGTTTCAATAACGAAGGTACTATTGTGGTGCGTGCTACTTATATTGACATAAGTAGTACATAACGTGAGTCATGAATGTAGTGTCTAGCAGCAGAAGGTTGGGAAGATCAAGAAAGGAAGAACGGGAATAGAAAGCAATTAGTATAGAAATGCAAAAACAATGAAGTTCGAGACAATTATTGAACATTTTGCAAATTAGGTATTATAGTATGGTTTTTCTATTTTACCAAGTAACTAGTTCTTACCAAAATGGAGGGTTGATTTAGAGCATAAAACGGACAAACTTTCCTGAGGCTTCCAGTACCACATTCATTCTTAAGTATTCAACTGTAATTCTAGCATCAATTTGATTGTATAAATGATTAGTTGACAAAGGGTTATCACTACATACCAATGAAAAAAAGTATAAGATTGAAGGATAAATACCTCTATTTCCTAATAAATATCCTTTGGTGCTTTTTGTGACTTTAAGTCTGACTAATTGTTACGCAATATATTCTCCAATCGAAATGCCACCTATACAATCTTATTACTGTGCCAAACCAATGACGTATAAGCAATCTAGCGTCCTTGTTGATCTTTTGTCCTCCTAGCACTCTGTCAATTAAGTCCACAATGCCAATATCAGCTTCCGCTATGCGAATCATTCACTTCATACATACTTGGTTTATATACCAAACAAACAGATCAAATCACATTATAAAACAGAAAATAACATTTGTACAAGATCTAGCCCAAAAGTGACTGTGATTGTGGCACACTGTAATCAATAAACTGAACATAATTTATGAACAGTAAATTGTATAATAATAATAATTTATAGATCAAATGGAAGCTTACAATATGGGGAATATAGATATGTACAATGTAGCTACTGAATCGTTATACAATAAGAATACACGTGTAATATTAGTCCATTAATAGTTCTCAGAAGTTACTTGTAATTTAATATTTTATAGTGGATAAACTTCTATTGGAATAGTCAGTTAGGAACTAGTGATCTAAGATTTTATCTTCAGATGATTTGAAATGAATTGTGATATAGACTTGATATTTCGTCACTTGTAAGAAAAATAAAGTGAGATATACTACTGAAATGTTTAGTTCTTATAGATTAGACTTTATTCTCTACCAACAGTTGAGATCACGAGTCAATTGAGGCTAGACCATCATGGAAAACCTGGAAGCACTGGACGGCTTTTTCGTCTTATTGTTGGACTCCTCAACAGTGCTCATCCACGATCATAATCTCACGAGATCCGAACTCAGGATCTATCAGTCTCGCGTGTGGACGCTTAACCTCTAGATCACTCAGCCGTCTGGTATCCAACGGTGTTAATGTCTAACTTTAACTAATCCACAAAATTGAGCGACACATCCACCATTGTCGTCAATGAGTTACTACCTCCCTATTACTATCTCAACTGCTGGAATTACTACAATCTCCACAAAACCCCTTCTGATATTTATTCTCTACATTGTTGTTTTGTTCATTTTTACAGTTAAACTAACAGGTGCTTGTTACATATCATTGAAACGTGGATTATGTGTTAATCCAATGCAATATAGAATATCTCAATATGATTATGAAGCTATTCCATTAACTCATGAAGTATGTTGTAATGCATTAGGAATTGCATGGGGTGAACCATGTCAAATTTGTCAAAGTACACATTGTGGAAAAGGATATGAACAAATTGATGGAGTATGTAAAGGTGAGAAGTTTGATATTTAATGCTGAATAGGATAATAGTCCTTTTTTGAAAATTTATAGATTACCATCACCGGATTCTTTTTTTTGGTCAGCGTTTTTTTAGCGAGTTAGTTTTCTACGGGATGGGGTCGCTAACCCAATACCCAACTATCCTCCTTTATCCGGGCTTGGGACCGGTAGTAGCCCCTAGAGGGGCTTCAAGCGGAGTTATCATCACCGGATTACTAAAGTAAATCTAGTCTGGTTGGTTAACTTATGAAATTTTTATCTGGACAGAAAGATATCAAGCTTATGAATGGTGTAGTTTTTGATTTAATGAATACTATCAACATAACAGATTGTTATCAGAAAGGGACTTTTTGTGGAGATGGTAGTATTTTAATAGTTGAATTCATGAGGCGATCTAAGCTAGATTACCATGGAAAACATGGAAGAACTGAACAGCTGTTTTGTCCTTGTATGGAACTCCTCAACAGTGCGCATCTACAATCGTGGATTGATTGAAGTTAGAAATTTACACCATCGGATGCCGGCTCAGTCGTCTAGAGGATGAGCATTCGCATGCGAGTCCATAGATACTGGGTTCGAATCCCGCTGGCGCACGGGATCGTGACTCCTTACTGCTGAGGAGTCCCATACTAGGTTGAAACGACCATTCAATGCTTTCATGTTTGTACGAGTCAATAAATCTTTCCAAAAAATCTGGTGAATAAAATAAAAATATTCTATTGTTATGGTACTATTTTGCTGTCAAGCACTTCTGATCCATTCATAGCACATTTTATAAAAAGAGAAATATTGTTTGCCTTAGCCAACTCACTGATGAGATCTAAGTAGTGATTAGATTGCAGCTGTTATTCATTAATTTTCTTTGTATTATTTACATCGTCAACTGACCTTAGTTTGACGACCATTGAAAACCATGAAACACTTAGGAGAGTATTTGTCCAAGAGTGAGATTTTTCAACACTGTACATACAAGATCACACCACTACAGATCAAACTCGAAACCTTCAATCTCGTGAAAAGAGGTTAATCTTTAATCTACTCAGCCAACATTCAATAATTTACATATCGAACTTCATCTCATTCATAGTGTAAAACATTCATCTTCCAATCTCATCAGCGGCTAACTGAATCTCATTCCTTTGTCATTTTCGTCTTGATTAGTACACTCAAACAATTTTAGTTACGTATGGAAATTTGGCGACAAATGTAATTGATCATATGCTAGACAAATATAGCATCAATGCAACTTCTTGTGTATGTGGATCATTTTAGATGGTAGTTGGAGGTAGTCAACAGGAAACCCTGGACCCGGGTTTCGTGCTACTCGGCACTCGTCAGCAAGGTGCCTGTAATCTTGAGGGAACTGGTGCTCCCTGGACTAGACAAGCATGACATTGATCACCACCCAGTGATCAAGCAATTGTGATGTGGACCATTTTCTTCTTCATGGCCAGAGTATAACAGCAACTCCCCTGAATCTAGTCTTTGTTATCCAACCTGTGTCCATTGTGTTTCACTGATTCCAAGCACCTCCAGGTTTTGTCTTTTCACTTCTGCAGCAATTTGGATGACCCTCCCAGTTTCTCACACTGTATGAACATCCCATGTACCTAAATTAATAGTTGCTCTGGTTGTGACTCGTGACTTCCGAAGGAACTCAGCTTTCAGCATGAGACGTCATAACTCTTCTAATTGAAAACCTTCTAACTCTCAGTGTAGAGTTTAAATGGTTTGAATTATTTTTTCTGATTAGTGCTTTTTAGCGCGTTAGTTCTATACGAGATGGTGTCGCTAACCCGATGCCCAACCCTCATTCTTTATCTGGGCTTGGGATCGGCAGTAGCCCCAGATGGGCTCCAGGTGGAGTTACTAGACAAATATACATAGGATGAATTCGACTGGTTCCTGAAATTCAGCATGCATATTGATGTTCTTATTATGCTTAATGATAATTGTTTGATGTTTTCATTTATCATAAGATATTAATGAATGTGAAGTGGATGGAGTTTGTCAACGAGGTCAGTGTATCAATGAAGAAGGATCATACAAGTAAGTATTCGTTGAAAACTAATTGTAACATAATTATAATCATGACTTGATTTCAGTTTATAATTAGCTAATAACTAGAAGTCGATACAATTGCTTCGTCCTTATATTGATACTCAGAGTCATCAAATCTACATAAATATTGATTGCATAACAAAACAAGACGAACTTTTAAGTTCCATTCACAAGGTATGGTAAACAATGAGACAACTGGAAGTAAAAGAAAATGAAATACCGAAGGATTGGGAAATGACTGCGTTAAACTATAGGTTATGACTACAATGAAAACGTTTCTTCCTAGCCTACTAAAATGCTTAAAGGATACAAAAACTCACTATCATACTCAACCTAAGGATCTGAAAGTCATCATATTGATCTTATATGAGTTGAGAGTTGATCCATTGTTGCAATGTTCTAAAACAGAATGGAACATACATAATCATTAGTCAGAAGGTTCTTAACTATTTTGTAATTCAATGCTAATTCGACATGTAAATCAATTTGTAGCTGAATACGAACACTGATGAGTTGGAAAAAGAAATAAATCAAACCATCAGAACCATAAGATCATAGATCACCCATTGAAATAATTCACCGGAACAATAAATCTGCTATATTAACTGGAAATAGTTCGGTATCTTCAAAGTTGAATTCACGAGTCAATCTATATTAGACCATCATTAAAATTCTGGAAGCATTGGACGGTCGTTTTGTCCTACCATAGGACTCCTCAGCAGTGCGCATCCCGCACGCAGAATTCGAATTCAGAACCTCCAGTCTCTCACGAGAACGCTTAACCTTTAGACCACTGAGCCAACAATTAACGGTAATAATGTCTAACTTCAGTTCATCCATGATTTCGCACAACCCTTCATTCATTGTCTGTGATGGGTAACTATCTGACACCCGACATGGATTGGACCTCACTGGTACTGGCTTTCTTTTTTAATTCGGTTTATGTGTAACTACGCCAGGAAATAAATAAAGATGAACTGGAAAATGTTATGATTGTGGCATAATAAAATTATTTAACTATTACTTAATATTAATTACGATATTGTTAGAATGGAAAGATTTTATGTGATGAACTCATGGGTGTTAATCAATAACTTTTATGGTATTGTAAATCACTCTTACTTACTTATTTACTCCTGCTACTCCCAATGGAGCATAGGCCGCCGAACAGCATTCTCAAACCCACTCTGTCCTGAGCCTTCCTTTACAGTTCTATACAATTCTTGTTCATTCTTCTCATGTTTGTCTCCGTTTCTCGAGGTAATGTGTTTTTGGGTCTTCTTCTTCTCTTTGTCATTGAGGATTCTATGTGAGGGATTTCTTTGTGACACATTTCGATGCTTTCCTCAATATGTGTCCTATCGACTTCCAGCAATTCTTCCTAATCTCTTCATCCTCTGGGATCTGGTTTGTTCTTTCCAACAGTTGGTTGTTGCTAATAGTGTCCGGCCAACGGATCCGAAGTATTTTAAATAGATAACTGTTAATAAACACTTGTATCTTCTGGATGATGGTTTTCGTAGTTCTTCAAGTTTCCATCCCATACAGTAGAACTATCTTGACATTTGTGTTGAAAATCCTGACCTTGGTGTTGGTTGACAGTTGCTTTGAGTTCCAGATGTTCTTCAGTTGTAAATATGCTGCTCTTGCTTTGCCGATCTGCGCCTTCACGTCTGCATCAGACCCACTGTCTTCATCAATGATGGTGACCAAATATGTAAACGTTTTTACATCTTTCAAATCTTCTCCGTCAATTGTGATTGGATTGGTGCATGCTGTGTTGTATCGGAGAATCTTGCTTTTCTCTTTGTATATGTTGAAACCTACTGCTGCTGAGACTACTGTTACACTGGTGGTCTTCCCCTACATTTGTTGTTGTGTGTACGATAGAAGAACCAGATCATCTACGAAGTCTAGATCGTCCAGTTGGTTCCTAGCTGTCCACTGTATCCCATGCTTCCCATCAGATGTTGACGTCTTCATGATTCAGTCGATCACCAGGTTAATGAGGAGGGTTGAGAGTAAACAACCCTGCCTGACACCGGTCTTTGTCTCGAACGAGTTTGTCAATTGTCCTCCATGCACGATTTTACAGTTTAATACATCATAGGATTTCGTATGATATAAATCTGACTTAAGTCAATTCATGATCTACTAATTTCCATACTTACAAGAAAATGACTAATTTCTAAAGTCTGATCGAAATTTATTATACACTATCGATTTATATGAATAATTGAACCTCCAAAGATCTTTGTAGTAGTATCCATCAGTATGGTTTACTGGAAACCTGAAATAATGACTCTACAAAGTAGTTCTATATTATCAAACTCTTGAACAAAATTAAGGATGATGACTAGTTGTCCTGTTCTTCGTACACCTTTTGCAAGTATTATAGCTGATTCTTACTTACTTATTTCCTTACACCCGTTACCCGTCATGACAGCATAAATTACAGATTGAGATTCTCGAACCTAATCTGTTCTCGGCTCCCCTTTCTTATAATATCCATGTGCCGTCCATTTGCTTCTAATTCCCAGTTCAATGATTTCTTTGATCTACCACTTTTTCTCTAACCTTTAAGAATTTAATTTGACTTATCTAATGATTCAATTTGATGATTTCTTCAATGTATGTTCTACCCACCTTCAGAATGTTCTTCTAGTTCTTTCAACAGTTGAGATCATGAGATCAATTGAAACTAGACCACCATGGAAAACCTGGAAGCACTGAACGGCCGTTTCGTTCTATTGTAGGATTCCTCAGAAGTGCGCATCCACGACTCGACCTCGCGGGATTCGAACCTAGTTCTAGTCCTCTATTTCTCTATCATAGTAGAATGTGACTGATAGTATTCAACAAACGGATGATTCTAAACAGAATATAAAATCGATTGTATGAGTGCTATGTAACTTAAGAGTTAAGAATTTTTGCTGTACTAAATAAATAATTAAATATGTTTGTTTTATTCGTTTACATTTCAGATGTAATTGCCCAGAAAATACACATTTTGATAAATCAACGTTAGATTGTGTTTACACATTAAGTAAGTTAACCAAATGAATTATAAGATCCTATCACAGTAATCACTTTCTCAAATGATTTTATTTCAATAACCGTCAGCTTCCAGTCATAATTTACTTAAATCATCAGAAAGGGATTTTAGTGGAGATTGTAGTAGTAGAAGCCGTAAACAATGCAATTCAACTGAGTCTTTTGTGAGATAATAACTCACTGAAGACAATATTGGACGGTGGATTAGTTGAAGTTAGACTTTAACACCGTTCGATACCAACTCATTGGTTTAGAGGTTGAACGTTCTCGAGCGAGTTCAGAAGTCCTGAGGTCGTGGATATACACAACTGAAGAGTTCCATACTAGGATGAAATGACCTTCCAGTGTTTCCAGGTTTTTCATGATGGTCTAACTTTAATTGACTCATGAATTCAATTCAAATCACTAGAACTCAATGATGGTTTAGACGTTTTTAGTTTCACTCTTGTGCAGATTTATATGTGAAGCTGTTTAAAGCATTCAGTTAATTTTCAACCGTATGTATAAAGCATAAAACAAATATTCAATGAATAAAGTGTCTTTACCAACTTATTGACGATCCTGGAACGATGTATTCACACATTTACTTATATTTCTAATTCACTTTTCTTATTATCAATCTTTCTATTTCCCTTTCTACTCATATTAGAACTTAATTAACAAAGGCATTTATATGAGGGACAGAATATATGAAAAAAACTATAGCAATTCACCTGTCCAAAGGTTGGAATGAACCACATAGACACGTAACAATTACAAATGCTACAGTATAGAGGATTATGCGGAATATGTAATCATTTCCTCATACGTTCAAACAAATAGACACATGTTCTGAACATCAGTAGATCAGAATAGCAAACAGTGCAATGTTATTATGACTTTAAGGCTCAATCTGACATATTGTTCTAACATTCCAGCTGGATAGGATAACTGTCCGTTTATTCGGAGTGCATCTACTTCTCAATGTTCAACATGTGTGCAATATCTAACATTTTTCTGTTCATTTAATCACTGGAAACTCTATATATGTACATAACTTTCATCGGGGATTTCATTTCAAGTGGTTGGAATGAAATTCCCAGTAAACATTACTCACTTGTATGCATGACTGATACATGAGTTTGGTTACTGTCATAGCCTCCAGTTGAATTGATTTTCAAAGTTGAGAAGATATGCTAAGACTTATGATTCAATAAAATATTATCTAAATTATCAATCTACCATTTTTATTTCCTCTAACAATAAGGATCTGGGGTAAATAACTGAAATAGTGGAGAAGATTTGTAGCTCAGTTGGATGATTTGATGAAGTTTTGTCCTCTGAGCTGGATGGTTTGGTCGTGAAGCACAAACGTCTACCTGAAGTTCGTGCTGACGATGTCGTTCAGAACAACGATGAAAGCTTCACGACCAAACCATCCAGCTCAGAGAACAAAACTCCACCTAAATAACTGAAAATTTATTCATCATAAAAGCTACATTTCAAAGATATATGTTTTTCACTGATAGTATATTGTTGAATAGTATTTTTGCACCAGTTTATATATCCTATTGAATGGTATGTATTCATCTTGTTTTTTTCTAGTTAGCGTTTTTTAGCGAGTTAGTTTGTTACGGGATGGGGCTGCTAACCCCATGCCCAACCCTCCTCCTTTATCTAGGCTTGGGACCGGCAGTAGCTGCCGGAGGGACTCCAGGAGGAGTTATTCATCTTGTTAACATGAGTAATACTGTTTCCACAGTATAATAAGTAAATCTTCATCTTTTATTCATATCTTCCTGTTTATTAATGAATTTTGTTTTTATAATTCAATAATTAGAAATGCCATGTGAGTTAGATCCTCACAGATGTCATAATGGAGGAAAATGTATAGATCTACCAAGTGGTGATTACAAGTGTATATGTCCGTGGGGAACTAGAACTTCACAAGATAGAAAATCCTGTAAGTTACCCTTTCAAAAAAATGTTATCACATAGTTCTTTAAGAGTATTGCTGAAAATTCTTCAGACAGTAATGCATTTTATTTTCTTGAAAGCCTATTTGTGATGAATTACAGAGAATTTAACTGGAGAAACTTTCTCAAAGTTACCATTTATTCAAACTGTACAATCCTATTCATTCATTTAACAAAAAACTTTCTGAGATCCAAATATCAAAAACAAAGTTTTGTAATGATCGATATGTTGCCAGGAAGAGTCTCTAAATGCCATGGTACGGCTGATTGTGGGGATAGTCAGCTCTCTCGCTCGAAATGCTCTCACATGAACCCATGCATACAACCCCTGTCAGGGAAGTCCTACTCACTGCCTTCTAGTGACACTACTGTTGTTTACGAAATTAAGAGGACGAAAACCGAATGTCCGATTCTTTAACCGGATTGGTTGATATGGAGGATCCACCTAGGCGAGTTACATGAAAAACCCTGGTTCCAAAATAATGGTATACATGGTCTCCAGTATCCTGAAGGAATAAATCGCGTATGAACCAGTCGTTGGTCACCGGCTATCATGGTACTGCATCTCCTGATGTTTCTTCACTGCCTTGTGAATCAGACCTTCAGGTCGAAGGTTCTGGGTGTGGCCTCCTAAGAGAACCACGTGTTTCTATTTGAGCACCTGGATAGTATCCTAGCCCTCACAGAAATCAAATGGTTTATGTGGCGCACATGTATTTGTTGCCTCCTTGTACGAATATTTATATGTTTAAATAAACAATAAATAAATAAATGCCAAAAATACAAGACGAAGCCAATTCCATAAGAGATAACGTTTCATGTAATAAACATGGGGAAGGTAAAGCATTCAAATGATATCTTTAAAACTTTAGAACATGAGATGAAAGCATTAATTAAGTATATTAGAATCATTGTAGAATGACAGCTTGCACATTTCATTTTTGCACATAACATCCTAATGTGAAAAAACGAATCACTAACATCTCTGCAGTGCATAAGTTACTGAATTGTGCTCTCTTCGAGCCCAGTTATTTGATCGTGCAAATGGTCGAATATATGTAATATTGTCAGGAAAAAGATTTCTTCACTGAATGGTCTTTCATTCTTCTTTGAATACCCAACGTGTTTCTATCATAAACTGGAAAATGATATTCACTTGGATTGACCAGACTAAATTATTTGAAGATAGAATTAGAAGACCATTGCTTGAAAGTTGAGTTGTTTAGCGGAAATAACATGATACTTCAATAACCAGTGAATTCTCAGAAAGGGTTTTGTGGAGATTTCAGTAATTTTGTTAGTTGAAATCATGAGTCAGTTGAAGCTAGACCACCATGAAAAACCTGGAAGCACTGGACGGCCGTTTCGTCCTAGTATAAGACTCCTCAACAGTGCGCATCTACGATCCTGCTGCCAGCGAGATCGGAACCCAGGACCTATTCGTCTGGTGCGCGAACGCTTAACCATTAGACCACTGAGTCGGCATCCAACGGTTTTAATGTCTACAGTCTATGATATACATTCAAATTATTATTTCAATGAAAGTTTCATTCTTTTGTTATAACTTGTGGGTTTGTACCCCAATCAATGTATAACGTAATGACACCGCCAATTAGAGAACAGTGATTCATCGATCAGTTCAATGGCGCATAAAACCCGCACGAGTAATCTAGAATCCTTATCGGTCCTTCTTCCTGCCTAGATCCGCCTGTTAAGTTCAGAACACCAATCTCAGCCTCTGCAATATGAATAATGTATTTCAACTATACTTACTTCACTACATTTTATCCACTCAAAAGTTTCTCTCTGTTTATATAAATATCCAAGTGGTAATGAGAATTAAATCCAAATTAGTCATAGATGAAGAATAATGAATCACAGACAACTCAATCATGGTCAAAGGCTCCAGGTTTGGTCCCCTAAGAAAACCACTTGCTTCGGTCTGGGCACCCAAGCAGTATTACAGCCTGCCACACACAAACACACACAAATAAAGTACCTTGTTTAGTGTATATGTATTCGATACCCCTTTGTATCGATATTTATGTGTTCAAATAAATAAATAAAAATATAATCATGGAAAGAATAAGAGTCAATAATTCCTCAAATGATGACTCAGGTGAATTGAGGACTTGAATATGTGTATTTTTGAGAGTTCATGTCATATCTAAAATGGTGGAACAACGTAAGGAGATGCAATCGCATGATAGTCGGTGACCAACAATTAGTATACACGGCTTTCGTTTCCTGAGGATTCTCGAGCCCATGTGTACCACTGATTTGGAATCAGAGATTTCCAACTCCCCTATCTGAATTCTATATATCCACCAACACTGTTAAAGCGCCAAATATTCACTTTTCATTCTCTCAATTTCGTAAAGAACAGTAATGTCGCGAGAATTCAGTGAGTAGAACTTCCGTGGCAGTGACTGTATACGTGTGGTTATGTGAGAGCATTTCAAGTGGGAGATCTGACTCCCCCTGTCCCTCGTCTGTACCAAGACGTTTAAGGGCATATCAAATATTTATTCATAAAGCACAATATTACACACTTTAGTAGATATAACTTAAATCAAGATAGTATCCTAATGTATTCAGTTGATTAATTTCATTTATCATGATCAACAGATAAATATTATCAGATGGGTTTTGTGGATATTATAGTAATTTCAATGGTTAAGATCATGAGTCAGTTGAAACCAGACCACCGTGGAAAACCTGGAAGCACTGGACGACCGTTTCGTCCTATTATGGTACTCCTCAGCAGTGCGCATCCACGACCTCGCCCCCTGTGAGATCCGAACCCAGGACCTACTGGTCTCGCGCGCGAGCACTAGACCACTGAGCCGACATCCAACGGTGTTAATGTCTAACTTCAATTAATCCACGAAATTAAGTGACACATCCACTATTGTCTTCAGTGAGTTAGTATCTCATAACAGACCCGGTTGAACTCCACTGGTCACTACTTCTCACTAGAACTCCAGGAGATACCTCGTGAATTCAGTCCCTAGTGAGCATAAATATTACATAATCTTAAGAAACTCCAAATTGACTGATTGACTGACTGACTGACTGTTACTGTCCATATATACATCCATTTATTTCATTTGGACATGTTCATAAACATCATGAAATGTAACAAGAAAAGAAAAATATGATCCAGATCAATTTCCGATCAGATTAAAACAAACAATAATCAAGATAAAACTAAAAGGAATGACAGAAAAATGAAGAAAAAGGGAAGGTAACAAGAACAAATGGAGAAAAATAAAATTTAAAAAATAATTTTTTTGGTGTGATTGAAAATTTTTATGGGAAAAAAAACAGACTTTGTTATATAGAATAGATGGAATGAGATCTAGGACAGATATTTGATCCTATTTGGTATTTAATAATTAGATGTACCTGAATCTTAGATTTAAAGTGTACTGAAGGACTCGAACCTTGTACTATTGGGTTAAAACGTTTAACATGTTATATACTTAGATACTGAGTTCAGATAGCTATTTTTTTGGGTAATAGGTATGACCTAGTTACTTACTTAGTTACTTATGCCTGTTACTCCATGTGGAGGAATATAGGCCGATCACTACCACTCTCTATTCAATCCTGTCCTGGGCAATCATTTCCAGCTCTTTCTACTTGTTATTCATCCTTTTCATATCTGATTCTATTTCTCGACGTAATGTACTCATCGGCCTTCCACTTTTCCACTTCCATTCAGGATTCCAAGTTAGGGCTTGACTCGTGATGCAGTTTGATGATTTGCGTAATGTATGTTCTATCCATTTCTATCGTCTTTTCCTAATTTCCTCTTCAGCTCTAAGTTGGTTTGTTCTCTCCCACAGAAGGCTATTGCTGATGGTATCCGGCCAATGGATGTTGAGTATCTTGCGTAGACAGCTATTTATAAATAGTTGTACTTTCTTGATTGTGGCTGTCGTAGTTCTCCAAGTTTCAGCTCCTTACAGTAGAACTGCCTTGACGTTCGTATTGAAGATTGTGACTTTGATATTGGTTGGAAGTTGTTTTGAGTTCTACATGTTCTTCAATTGTAGGAATGCTATCCTTGCTTTGCCAATCCTCGCCTTTACGTCTGCATCCCATCCTCCTTCTTCATCGATGATGCTTCCTAGTTATGTGAAGGACTCTATATCTTCCAGAGTTTCGCCATCAAGAGTGATTGGATTGCTGTTCTCCATGTTAGATTTTAGGACCTTGGTTTTCCCTTTGTGTATGCTGAGGCCTACTGATGCAGTGACTGCTGCTACACTGTCTGTCTTCATCTGCATCTGTTCGTGTGTACGTGATAGGAGGGCTAGGTCATCTGCGAAGTCCAAATCGTCTAATTGGTTCTGAGCTGTCCATTGTATTCCATGTTTTCCTTCAGATGTTGAGGTCTTCATAATCCAGTCGACCACCAGAAGAAAGAGGAAGGGAGAGAGTAAACAGCCTTGTCTGACTCCGGTCCTTATTTGAAATGCATCTGTCAGCTGTCCTCCATGCACGACCTTGCACTGTAGTCCGTCGTATGAGTTCCGGATAATATTGACAATCTTCTCAGGAACTTCGTAGTGTCGAAGAAGTTTCCATAATGTCCTCATATCTACACTGTCGAATGCCTTTTCATAATCAATGAAGTTGATGTATAGTGATGAGTTCCATTCAACTGATTGTTCGACGATGATCCGTAGTGTCTCAGACGTCACTGTTCCTTTATTTCCATAGCTATCATTTGTTTTGTTCTTGTTCAATTTTCTTCGATCTTCTTAACCTTCTGCCATCAAACATTTCACTTTCGATTGCTGATACATACTACTTATATCTATCAACATCAGTGTCACACACAACATCTCGATACCTAAGAGAATTTGTCTCCCTCAAATAATCTGACTATAAATCATTGCTTACCACAATGATAGACAGTACAGCGGAGATTCTTGGGCTTTGACCAAAGTTCTTTAAGACTAATATGATTTACTTG